TCACTAAACTAACACTAAAAATGGAATCCTTGGTGAATTTTGAGACTAATGGTATGATCGTTGCAAATTTCTGGGCAGTTTTGCTTTTTCCGGCCTCCGTGTACGGCAGCGGTCCGGCGACACTCAGGCGAGGCATCAAGAGACAGAATCTTACTCTCCTCGCGTGGATCCTAGAATCGTCACTTGAATTTCGATCGGTATGCCCTAAGTTCTATTTTCCGATTTGTGTTATAAATTTCAAATTTAAATTTATGGTTTAATTTAGTTAATTTTGAATAGATATTTAATCGAAGGGCTTTGAAATATTAGGTTGGAAGCTTGTGAATTTAATTGGGGGATTTTTAAGAGAATTCGAACTTAGGATTCACTTGTTAGAAATTGTGATTATATTAGGTTGAGTACGTAATTAAAAATCACTATTCAACCTAACTAAATACATTTAATGTTGAAAACCATAATTATAATTAGGAGGTTTAATATTAAGATAAAAATTCCTAACTAAATTTTATGTAAGTTAATATAGGAATTTTAATAAAATATTGTTAGGAGAAGTTATAAGTTTAAGTAAATAGCTATAGGGTAATTAATGCTATTAATGAATCACGCTTGGAGGTTATTTAGTTGAAATTATTAAGTATATATGTAAGTGTGATGGATGTTATATGTAGCTTGAAGTTGATGGGCTGTTTGAATTGATTGATCTAATGATTGAAAAATAGGATTATGGTGGATGGGTTGAGTTGTTTTGAAAGGAGGACGGGAATATAGCTGATTGATTGCCCGACGGATGGGCCGTGTGCAATGATTGATATATATATATATTAATATTGTGATATTTGAGCAGGTAGATAGTCTAATTTTTAGGGGAGGTGCTGCCGAAATTTCGCTAGAACTTAGTCTAATTAATGACAAAATTAATAAGTTTATTTATATCAATTCTATAACTTAATACATAATAAATAGAGTGCTCTAATTATTTATTTATTATCTTTATTATTCATTTAGTTATTTAGTTATTTATTTATTTCCATTGTTATTGTTTCTCTATTATTATTTATTATTAATCTTTATATTCATCTTTAATTAATCTAAGTATTTTAATTATTTTCCTTGTTATTGTTTAATTATTATCATTTTATTTTATTGTTGTTTATTGTTAATTGGTAATTTATTTAAATATTTAATTGCATTGAGAATGGATGTCTAATTGTGCATTGGCATTATGATGTTATCTGTCAATAATGTCTGCATTTTGATTGCAATGTTGATTATTGTTGTGAAAATGCTATGCTTGTGTGTGGTGAATTGGGGATGTAAGTGACCACATGGGGTTTGTGAGGACGGTCTGTGATATGGATCCGGTTTATGATATGATACTTGACGTCGGCCGGTGAAAATGGGAGATCGACGCCCCTTGTGATCCTGAATGATATAGATTAAATGGAATTCCAACAGGATGGCTTCTTGTTGTTGCCGCACTGAATAATCTAGATTTGATTGTAGCCCGCAGGGTGGCCCCTGTTGTGAGCACTTGTGATCTAGATTGGATAGGAGACCACCGGGTTGCCTCCTGTTGGTTTAATGGGAAAAGAAAAGAGAGAATGGGAAAATACAATGAAGAGGACCTGGTCAGCTGAGGAATTAGACCAGTGGGCCGTCATGGGGGATCGGCTCCCTGGTGCAACATTATGAGAGGGGCGAGCCAATGTGTGAGCGACGTTGCTTCGTTTGGGCGTTTCAGGTGTGCCGAACTAGAACTAATTTCCACGTGAGTCATTAATATGAAGGATGTTAATAATTGTGAGTGCCT